AAGAGAGGGCAACTGGGCTTCGCAGTGTCACCCTCTCTCAGTGCTGCTCCTAAAAGAGAAGAATACTTTAGAGAATAGCAGACCATGAACCTTAGATACAGGCATGGTGGGTTACCAGAAAGTATTTATCCTGTAAGTTCTGTGGTGGGGATATTTTAAGTGCTTGTTCTTTGCTGTTCCTATGGGTATACTTTTTTAAAAAAGTTGTAAGTGCTGCATCTCTGCTTTTGTATCCCTTCCTTGTTTCTCTATATATTCAGATAAAGAACAGTACTCTGAAGTAATTTAATCTTTCTTTACTAACTGTGGTTTCTTGATTTAAAAAGTCCCAAAGCTGCTCAGAGCTCAATCTTTTGTTCTGCAGTGAGTCCTGTGAGGACAGACCCTTTCATAGATGCTGTGGCCTGTACTGGAGTTCTCTTGAAGCCTGAGTTGTGAAGTTTATGCTGATGAAAGGTCTGAAGACTTTAGCTACTGGTTACCCCCCCCCCCCCCCGCCATGGGATTTAAAATCAAGCAAATATAGGTGGTTGGTTTTTTTTTCCCCAGGAATAGCTCTAAACACATCTCTGATCAGCATAACCCTTTTGCCAAATTTTCAGGCTTGCTCCAGAGTCTGAAGCCATTTTAATATTTCAAAAAATTATTAACAGCAGCAGCAGCAGAAGTAAATATAACACAGTCAAAGCTGCATATTTTATTTGCTTATTTTCTGTCTCTGAGATGGGTGTATTTTATTTTTTTTTTTTCTGAAACTTTCTCACAGAAGATCAGTCTGAGGCAGATGTTGGCATGGAAGATTCTAATTAAAATATTTGCCAGAGTTGTAAAGAGCTAAGCCTAAGGCTTTTGAGGAAGAGTGTCGAATAGTCTTAAGTGTCATGGTTCCTATGAGAATCATTTTGTTTGGGCTGCTGTTCTAAAGGTGTTATCTTCAGGTAGAAGCGCCTTCAGTGCCATAGACCCTGTCCTCAAGACAACCGTTTCTCTGCCTTTTACTTTCCTCTGCTGCTGTTCTGTGGAGTGGTAAAAAAAAAAGAATAAAAATTGATCAAGGACATCATTCTTTTCAGGTCGCTTAAATGCACATTGTTTCAGCACTCCTTTCCCTGTCTGCTTCTTCAGCTTCACAAAATGTTTCTTTCCTCCCTTTGGATTAGAGGTGGAACCTAAAAGGTGAAACATGCACTGAGGCCCTTTGGACTTCGTCATCCTGAAACAGGTTGCTCCATCCCTGGCAGAGTTCAAGGAAAGGTTGTGCAGAGCCTTGGGTTACACGGTCTAGTGTGAGGTGCCCCGGCCGTGGCAGGGGTCTTGGAAGTAGATGACCTTAAGGTCCTTTCCAACCCAAACTCTTTTATGATTCTGTTCTCTGGCCCTGTCCTCATCAGTTGAGGCCCAGGGTTTCTTCAGCATAGTCCTTTCTCAAAAAATCCAGGAAGTTCTTTTCATCTGGTGAAACTCCTGCTGCTTTGCTCTGCTTTTGGAAGCAGCGATACCCAACAGGGGTCTGTTTGCAGTTGCTCTTGCTCAGCTGGGTGGCTGTGGTGGCTCTTCTTGGACCATGTCAAAGGCACTGAGCCTCCTGTTTTCCGGGTTGTGGGTCAAGGTTCTGTTGTCTCCAGCCTGGTTCCTACTTCTGGGTAAAACTGGTGTGCTTAGCTCTCACCACTGGATTTCCATGGGGAGGCAGCTCTGGCATGGGTGTAAGGAAGAAAGGCAGTACATTCCAGTCAGGCCTTGTGGTTGGGGAACCAGGATCTGCGAGGTGCCACGGAGTGCGCCCATGTTTGGACACCACCTTGTTGATTTTGGCAGCATAACCAGTTGGGATGCAGAAAGCGTTTGAGCATCTGGGTTTCCTGAAGAGAACAAGCAGGGCTTCAGTTTCAGGCTCTGGCTTAAGGCATGTCTAGGAAATTGGTCAGGGCAAGGCTATCAAAACTACTTGCAGACACGAAAGATCCCAGCTTTCCCTGACTGTGAACTGGCTCCCTGAAGCACTGCTGAAAATCCCCCTCATTGTTCCTCCCTGCTCAAATCTTCCCCTGTTGAAGCTGGGTGTAGTATTTGTATACCTCGCTGGTTGTTCAGGCTAAATTAATATTTGTAGAGCACACTGTGTGCTCTGTATTGAAAGGACTACATGGAACTGCCACTGCTTCTAGGCAGTTACATCCTATTCTTGAATGTTGTACGTGTACTTAACCAGGACAGACAAGACTCATTGCATTTGTTTGGAAAAACCCTGTTGGTCCCCTCGTATAGAATCATAGTATATGTGTGAATGCATTTTTTTGCATAGGTGCTATGTTTATAGTAAAGCAGAAAATCCCTTCAGTTGAAGTAGTCCTGTTTCAAAGGTTGGGGTTTGTGCTTGTTTGCCATTTGTTATTCTGGTTGCCATTGCATTGCATGCTGGGGAGGGTGAATATATGTAGTTTTCTTACGGTCTTTCCCTGCTTATAGAAACCTTCAAGTGCATGCATAAATCTTCTAGCAGTACTTTTTCTTCAGCTGAGAACATAAATAGAGCAGATAATTGTCTGGTAAAGCTGATTGGTATTCCTTAAATCTTGATCTCATCCCTTGCTTATTCACACATCATCTGCACAGAAGATATTTCTGCTGTCTTCTGAACTCTGTTTCACAGACAGAGTGACAGTTCACATACATAGAACAGTCCAGCGAGATGTTAAAAAAATAATGATTTTGTAAACCTTTGAAAAAACAAATTAGGATATTACATGAAATTGGGTGGGGGGGGGGAATAAATCTGAAAAAAAAAATAATTCAAGCTAGTAAACATTTTTCTGGTCATAGATTATCAAAATTTTCCTGAAGCATGTGAAAAAGGGTGATTTCTCTAAATGTCCAGGTCGCAGAGCATCTGCTGGAGGTGACAGCATGAGGAAAAATAAAACCAGCCACAGCATTGGTTCTGTTGCATGGTTAGCATTGTGGCCCACGAGAGCAGAGCAGCACAGTCTCCTGCAGGAAAACCTGGCGCTTGTAGCTCTTAAAAGCCAGGGTTCTGCTTGTTGAATCACGCTGCCGTAAATCCTGAACAGCTCCATTGAAACAGAGGGAATTACTCCAGATTTATGCTAGTTTTGATGAAAAGAGGCTTTCCGCTGAATGTCTGGGCAGCCACTCACCAGGTGGAAGGGAAAGAAGTGACTCAGCATTCAGCAGTTGTTGCTGATCGCTGGCTTTTGCAAAGTGCAGAGTCACAGATTTCCCTTTTCGTTTTTTTCTTCTTCTTCTTCCTGCCCCCCTCCTTTTTTCCCTGGGTGAGTGGCTGCTTTGTGCACCCTGTAGAAAAGAGGACATAATTTCTGATGCAAGAGGGATGCAGAGGGGAACAGACCAGCCCGAGTCCGTGTTGTTAGCAAGGAACTTGTGGAGGGGCAGACCACCCTTGCTAGGAGCAATCAGTGCTTTGTTTCAGAGGTTTCAATATTGACTGCTGCTTCTTGCCCACAGGAGATGAATATTTGTAAGAAGGATTTAGCTGCATAGCTGGCCTTGTATTTCTGTCTGCACAGTAATGACCCAGCTAAGGCCAGTGACAGCAGAGCTTCCCATGAGTGCACAGAAGGGAGTAAAGCGTGTAGCAGAGCAGGGTGAGATGCGGCTGGATGACCCCTGAGCAGCTTCTTGCTTCCCCCCAGATTTGCTGCCACCCTTCTCTGCTTCCCCAGCAAGCTCACCTTCTCTGAGCTAGCAGCAGTGGCCTTTATCTGCACCCAAAACAAAGCAAACAAAGTGGGCAGAAAAGCCCCATCGCTAGGTTCTAGGGCCGTTTGCTGGTTGAGTAGATACTGAGGTTTATTTTGGACTACCCGGCAAGGGGACTCCAAGTTTAGAAATGGTGTTAAGTTATTGCAATGAAAAGTGGGATTTAAAAACTCTAAATGGGGAAGACAATAGCTTACTGTACATCTTTGAAAAACATGGGCTGATGAACTGAAGCTCCCTGAATGTTTCAGCCCATCTGTCTTGTTAGTTTCTGTGTCTTAATCACGGATTTCATGAAGTGTCTAATTTTCCTTTTTTAGCTTTCTGTCTTCCTCTTGTACAAAAGTTAAGGCAGGGAAATCATCTGAGCTGGATTTACTTTTGCATCCAAGAGAAAAGCAGACTATAAAAAGAATTGAGTGGTGTGTGTGTGCTGGTAAACCAAGTTTGTCTGCTTTAGGTTTGAGGGGCAAGATTTTCCCACCCTCACTCCTGATGCTGTGGTGGTTATCAGGAGAGGTGGGGAGCTCAAGTATAGGTGCATACCTTGTAACTGACAGCTTTAATTGTTTTAATTGTCTGGCTCTGATCTATGGCTGTCCAAACTGCATGGACTGGCTCTGCTGAAGTCACCAGCAAAATTCCCTTGCTGTCGCTCCCACTGCTGCCACTGTTCCTGGCAGCTGTTGAGATATATTGGCAAGTCCCTGCTCCCTCTTGCACCTCAGGAAGTCTGCAGTGACTCTTTTGAACTGCAGAATTACTATCTATTCATATCTGTGGGGGGAAAATCACAAATCAACCAACACAAACATTCCCCACAAAGTCAGAGCATTTTTAATGACCCCTCTGGGGGGATGTGCATCTCCAGGTTCTTCTGTGTGAATCCATCATGTGGAGCCCACTCAGTTTCTAGCAACAGTGGAATTTTTTGCCACCCCCCACCAGCACAGATAAGGCCATGTATATTTGCAGTGTGTACTATGCAGAAGACACTGATTGACATTAATTAGGAGTGGGTGGTGTGGAAGTGTAAAAATAAAATTCCTTTCTGTCAGGTTTACTATTAGAAGTGAAGTACACGGGTGTGACACTGAGTGCGTGTGAGTGTGCACGTGTGTGTGGAGTGGAGGGTGTCAGCATTTATAACAATAGTGGGAGTGAAGCACTACAGGCTTAAATGCCTATAAAAGTCTAGGATTGCAACCTTTTTCTTGCGAGCTGCTCACTGAAATGTGCTTCAAATTGTTTCTTTTCAGTTCCAAGTTCAAAATGTGGTGCTAAAAAACATAGAGTGCTGCAGATTGCAACTTACGTCAGTTTAACTGCCCCTGCCTGCTTTGTGCTGTTACAGTGACCATTTTGAGAAGTGATCAGGAAGGGACAGTGTTTTTGGTCTGTTTTAGTAGGAGCAGCATTCTGAAATTAAATGAATCGCCATTTAGCAAGCTGGTATTGCTCTGGTTGATGATATTAATTCCTTCTCTGTGTGAATACTGAGAATAAGAAGCAATAAATGGATTCCACTGCGTTAATGATTCGTGAAGTGTGTTGTCAGATGTGGCTGGCCTTCTCTTATGAAATAAATGGACAATCATCCGTGCCACTTTAAAAGCATATTCTTTGGATCTTAACTGCATTATGGTATCTGAGCTCTAGGACTATTGCTTATGAAATTTCTTCAGTATCTGTTTTATGTGTGTGATACTGCCAGACGGTTATCTGTGAAGCTTTTTAATAGCTGTCTGTCTATCATCTGCTCTACCTGACTGTTTACAGTTGTTCTTTATGCAAGAAAGTACTTCTCAGCCTAATTCACTGGTCCCTGAACTGAGTGACACTGACTGAAGACGTCTTCCCTCTCTTGAGGCCTTTCCATGCCAAACTGCAAGTTTGTGTTTAATTTTCACTGATTATAGCTAAAGGACAAATCTCGTTTAACACTTAGGAAATTATGTGTTCCCTAATTTGTTCTTATTTTAAATGAGCTCTTGTTAAGTGAACCCCTTTTTATTATTGCCCAGTGGTTTGATGGAAATGAGTTGCTAGTGTCTTCATTTTCTAGCAGAATCTCTCTCTGTTGACAAACTGAACATTTGCTGGTGTAGAGGGTGGGAGTGACACCTCAGCTCTCCTCTCCAAGCCTGCAAGGTGCTGGTAGTACATGCTACAGGCACTGTGAGCTGTGGCTGCTCGTGCTGTGCCTGTGATCGAGATACAGAACTGTTACTTAGGCCTTCTGGTTAAGTAACATTTTCTAGTACATTATTTAAAGTAGATTTAGTGTACTAGATTTTAAGTTAAGGGATAGTCCTCCTTCTATAAGGAAAATGCCAAATCTGACACACTGGTTTGCACTGGATTCACTAACATTGATGGTGTTGCTTTAGCATTGTGGTATGTCAGAACTGGCTCAAAAAAAAACAAACAACAAAACCGCAACCTAATCCTCCAAAAAGTCCTGTCTTGCTGATGCTGATCCTTCCCCTTACAGATTTTGGATGATGTGTCATGTGTTGCTGAGAAGGAGCATGTGGCTTCAGCTATGAGAGGTTGCTGACCATGGGAACATGGAGCTAAGGGTAGTGCTAGCAGCTATTTTCCAGCCAGCTTTGGCGTTAAGTGTATGGAGTACATGTGATAAAGCATTCCCTATACTGCATCACGGAGACAGGAATTCAGATGTTTCTCCAAATGTGTATTAAAGGCCCCTCTTAATTAGCGTAACTGTGTGTGGTTTGTGATGGGGTGTGTAGGCTTGTAAGCAAGACACTCGCTATGCTGTACTTGGGTGAGCCATTGACACGCGTGGTCTGCAACAGCTCCATTGATGTGGATGGGGGAAATGTTTGAATTAACTGCAGAAGTGTAAAAAGCAATTCACAGGTACGCAGACACTGAGGTTTCCCTGCATAGGGCAAGACACAGTTAATTCAGTTAAGGAAACCACAAGGAAGTTGATTTCTGGGTTTTGGTTTTGTTGTATTTGTTAGTATAGTGGTTTGCTTGCGCTTGAAAGGGTTAAGCAGAGACGGGTTCATGGTTGAAGCTGCAGCAATGTGCACAGAATGCATGGCACATCTGGTGTCAAAGAAGTTACTTATAATCACATACGTGTAGATAAAAATATGCTGAGTTTTAAGCAGTGGGTTTTTATTCTGGCTGTAGTTGCAATGGTACTACCAGTTAATCACAATTGAGTTTCTTGCTGTAAACCTCAATTCAGTGAATTAAGCAAAGACAATGTGAACTGTGAAGAGAAAAGAAAGAAGAAAAAAATGGGGGTGGGGGATAGTGGTGTCTTGGTTTAGACTCAGCTGGTAACTCAGCAGCATGCAGCCATTTGCTCACCCCTCCCCTTCCCCCTTCTGGGCAGGATGGGGAGGAGAATCGAAAGAATGCAATTCCTATGGGTTGAGATAAGAACAGTCCAATAACTAAAAGTAAAATATAGTGCTAATAGAAAGAATACCAATAATAATAACAATAGTAACAGGAAAGAAGAGAATCAAAGAATCATAGAATAGTTAGGGTTGGAAAGGACCTCAAGATCATCCAGCTCCAACCCCCCTGCCTTGGACAGGGACACCTCACACTAAACCATGTCACCCAAGGCTCTGTCCAACGTGGGCTTGAACACTGCCAGGAATGGAGCATTCACAGCTTCCCTGGGCAACTCATTCCAGTGCCTCACCACCCTAACAGTAAAGAATTTCTTCTTTATATCCAATCTAAATTTCCCCTGTTTAAGTTTTAACCCATTATCCCTTGTCCTATCACTACAGTCCCTAATGAAGAGTCCCTCCCCAGCATCCTTGCAGGCCCCCTTCAGATACTGGAAGGCTGCTATGAGGTCTCCACACAGCCTTCTCTTCTCCAGGCTGAACAGCCCCAACTTTCTCAGCCTGTCTTCATACAGGAGGTGCTCCAGTCCCCTGATCATCCTCGTGGCCTCCTCTGGACTTGTTCCAACAGTTCCATGTCTTTCTTATGTTGAGGACACCAGAACTGTACACAGTACTCCAAATGAGGTCTCAGGAGAGCAGAGTAAAGGGGCAGGATCACCTCCTTCGACCTGCTGGTCATGCTCCTTTTGATGCAGCCCAGGATGCGGTCAGCTTTCTGGGCTGTGAGTGCACACTGCCAGCTTATGTTAAAGCTCGGAAAACACAAGTGATGCACAATACAGTTGCTCACCATTCGCCAGCCGATACCCAGCCTGACCCAAGCAGTGATTTGCCCTTCTGGGTAACTTCCCCCAGTTTCTGCACTGGGCATAACGTGCTGTGGTATGGAATACCCCTTTGGCTGCTTTGGGTCAGGTATCCTGTCTCTGCTTCCTCCCGGCTTCTTGTGACCATCCTCACTGGCAGAGCATTAGAGACTGAAAAGTCCTTGATCAGAGTAAGCACTACTTTGCAACAACTAAAACATCGGTGTGTTACCAGCATTGTTCTCAAGCCAAAACACAGTACTGCACCAACTACTGGGAAGAAAAGTACAGGACTTGTCCTGGTTACAGCTGAAACCAGGACAAATTAAAAGACCATGTTTGAAGTCATCCTCAGACTGTTTCTGTGTGTAAGGCCCTGTCAAGTAGTGTTCTTGGGAGAGTTATTTAGGACTTAAAATGTTCAATGCACATTCAGTGTCTTCTAGAATGAGATCTCTAGTGACTGAAGAATCTTGTGACCTTTGGGATTGTATTTCTGTAGCTATGGGTAGTGTTCCTTCTTGGTGACTTTAACCACTGAAATCAAACCTACCAGTATAGTGCAGGGGTTTCCCACCAGTAATATATAACATGCAAAACCTAGGTCTTGATCTTCATACACATGGAGGCCACTTTACGCTCTTGGGGCAAGTAAAAAGGTCTTGAACCAGGTATAAATGGTCTTATTGCCTTCTTGCCCTTTTCACACTGATTAATATATTAGGCTCTCCAAACATGAAATACACAAGTAAGATGTGGGTGGGAAAACACTGTGTAGATACATATCCTACAAAGATTGGGTAGCTATTTGTAAGCTTGATTTAATTAGTTGGGCTGACATATGCAATCCGTTCAGCTTTGTGGGGGCTGGACAGTTTGTGGGCAAGCAGGAGGGAAATCCTTCAAGAGATGTGTCACTGTAGAACATTCTCATACTAAGGTTTGTGGGGGAAAAAGGAAAGTACAATAAGAAAATGTTCTCGTGATCATCCATGCCATGAACATCTTTTAAAACCAGAGTCTGTTTCATTTGGTTCTTCAGTTGTCACTGCTTTTCAGTTCCCTGTTATAAAACAGAGCATTAAATTATTTTTAACACAATGTATAGGGACAGGGCTTGAAATAGTTTTTAATCAGTTGGACCAAGTCGTGGCTGCATTGGAAGATGCTTTCCTGTCAGTGTTTATAGAAGAAAATAGTGGAAAATAGTGTTTGCACAGTTCAAATGCTTTTCATGTCAGCTCTGATCACATTTGTTTGCAGCCTAAGAAAACAGAACATCAGTTTTCGTCTCAAAACTATTTTAACAAAACTTTTAAAATACTCATTGAATGTATTTCAGAAACATGGTAGTATTGAAAATGTTACTGTAACTACAGCTATAAAGTTAGAACAGCGCTGCTGTTATTTTTGGAGTGTGTCTAAACCAGTGATTTTTCAAGTGGAAAGGTTGGCAGAATTTTATTGTCATGTTAAATTCGAAGTTACTTGCTTCCTTCTTCCATCCCATCCAGTTATAGTTATCTATTCAGTAAAGAGCAGAATGCAGCAATGCAGGATTTGCTTTACAGGGACCACATAGGGAATCTACTTGCAGCAAGTCAGTGAGTACGTGAGCATCTTGGGTCTCCTTGTGTCTGTCTCCATGGTGCTCCCCTCGGGTGAGGAAGCTGTAGTGCCTCCCCTGCTCAGATGGCTGAATCAAGCTTGGAGGTGGGCTTGTGCAGTGGCCCGAAGAGCAGCATGTCAGGGAGTTGAGTTGGTGTCTCCCAAGTGCCACCCTGGGGCTGTCAGCGTGGCATCATTCTTTCTCTGTTCTGCAGTTTGACGACCTGGGATGGGTTTAATACTGAGTGATGGTCATAAATGTGCTGTTCAGTGCCATTGACTTGCATCTGTAAAATTCCTTCTGTTGTGAAAGGATGCTGTGGGGCTGCTGACATAAGTTGTCTGGGAAGCTTTCTTTGCTGAGAGTGTTAAAAGTGGCAATAATGTTTCCCCTTTGCTGGGTGTTTTTTTGCTATGAGCATCAGTAATGCTTTGGTGGGTGTGTTGCTTTTTTCAGAGCTGTGCTTTTCATTTTTCACTTGCACTTAAATAGTAAACCAATGTTTTGTAACACCAGCATTTTCAAATCCTGTGATCACTGAAGTTGCCAAATGATTATTTACTGGGAGTAGAGGTTCTTCATTGTATAATCTTTGTGCTAAATCAGAAGGAATAGTGCTTCAGGATTTTTTTTTTAATAGAAAAAAATGATAATAACTTGGTATTCCATGGCTCACATAAATTGTTGAAAGTCAAAAGACCATTTGCTTCGAGGCTGTGCATAGTGATCTCATTTGTTATGTGGTCTGCCCAGGCTACTCTCAAGACGTGTAGGATTTCCTCCTCTGTAATGTTTCTGCATCACTGTAATAGATTTGAATACTACATAGATATTTGGCCATCTGGTTCTCTTAATTCCACTGAATTTACCAGAAGAAAAAGTAATGTATTATGCCTTTCTAAATATAGTTCTTTTTCCATGATTGAAAATTGAATATTCTGTAGTTCTCCTTTGTTGCAATTTGCATATTCTTAGGAAAAGTAAACTCTAGTATTGTGGGATTTTTTTTTTTTATTTTTTCATATTATTTTGGGATCCAGATGTTCTCCAACTCTACAAACCAAGGAAAGGTATTAGTAGCCTCTTTTCTTCTCCAGATTCTAGTAAAACCAAAGATCTTAAAATGCCTTAGAAGGAAAGGAAAGGAAAGGCAGTGTGAAAAGAAAGCTAGCCTGCTGGGAGGAATAATTTAAAACAGAAATCTGAGGCACTTCCGGGATAAATCCCAAACCTAATAAAACTCCTTGTGATTGGGGTTTCATCTTGAAATTGGATTTCTTGTTTGGAGCCCTCCACTGGCACAGTGTTTTGTGAGAGGGTTCGGCATGTGTTTCAGGATTAGTATGAGTGGTTTCAGTTGCTGCATCAGAGTTGCTGGACGCGTGCTTGAAGTGGTTCAGATCTCACTGTGTAGATGTACCACGACTTCAGTGAGTGAATATGAATGCAACGACCTCCTCAGTGCCACTAGGAAGACAAGTGGTATTCCTAACAGTGAGAAGAAGAGGGACCAGCACTTCATGTGATGACAGTTTCTGTTTGCCAGCCAAGTAAATGTGTCAGGAGGTCACCGATGAGTATCTATGGCAACCGGGGGACTGAGAATGGCTCTGCTGGGCCAGTGTTGCATGTTGGGCAGGACCCCAGGCAATGAACTGTGATATGACCTGATTAGGACTAAGCTACTAACTGAAATTGATAGTATTTATCAGCCACAGTCTTTAAAAATCAGTGGAAAGCAGGAAAAAAAAGGACCAAGG